ACTTTATGATACAATACCAACAACAACAACCACACATACTGCTTACTATATACATATATATATATATAGTATCTTTGGATACGCTCTGACTTGCGCTGCATGGCTAGCCATGATGATCAGATGCTGTTGACGACAATGATGATCGCACGACCCATGAGATCATGGCAATTTGCATTTTCCATCAGGCATGGATGCCAAAATTGAAATAAAGCTGCAATATACTATACTGTTAGGAATGTCGGATTTTACATCAAATCTGTACATAATCACTAATTAAGAAATAAAGTCTGGTTTAAGAGCAGTCTTGTCAACGCACCTTGACTCTTTTTTTGGAGCACAAACCTTTCAACTAAAAAATACTTTTCAATGTTTGAGTGGCTTAGCTAATAAAGAGCTAGAAATCTTTTGGCAATGGCCCGCTTTTAAAATATTGAGCATACATTTCAAATTGTACTATTTAAAAGTCATAATAAAATTATAAAATAAATGTATAATTATATTAATCTGTTTCACTGTTCACTCAGCTTCTGGCTTTCTGAAAAAAGTGAAATGTTCTTTGTTTAATATTATAATATTCCTTCAATAATTTTCATGTCTCCTGACCCAATAAACAAACTGGCAAACTATCTAGAAAGAGGTTTCAAAGGCTTCTTCTTTAAGAGTTTAATACACTTCGAAAGGTTGAAAAGAAATAACTACATTATTTAAAATGAATAAACGAAATATCAAACCAAGAAAGATATTTATTTTTTTTAAACAAAATAACACATCACAAGTGGGTAAAATAAAGTGAAATATTCCTTGTTAAATATTATAAATATTATTATTATAAAGCATATATGCAATATTCAAAATCAATAAAAGAAATATACAGAAGGCATTCAATAACACACTCTCTCAAATTGTGACTGCCTTGTTTTGTTTAAAAGATGCGGAATTTATTTACATTAATTAAATGAAGAAAATATGGTTTTCATTCCTTGTAGGTTTTTCTGCGAATATCCTTTTTGAATGAAATTGTTGGTTTAGCTCGTGCTAGACGCCACACAGTTGATGTTTTTCTCTGATAAAAATGCATATGTTTGGTCATGACATGCACATAAAAGAAGTAAACTAACGCACCAACTATTAATAACATATTATTTTAGACTTAATAAAGACGTCATAAAACCGAGCATGTTAATATTATCATATTTCTTATTTCTTTTTATGTGACTGAGGCAAACTTCATTAATTACACGGTGCACTAGGCTGAGAGGCACTTGAAAGGAGGAGCGAACAAAAAGAGCATTTTCATTTCATTTCGAGATAATTACAGACATGAGTGGAAAAAGGTGCATTTACGAGTATAAGAAGCCATTTGAGCCGAGACGCGTGCGCCAAAGAAACTTGGCCCAAAACAGTATTTAACACCATTCGGCAATGCCGACTGGCTGGCCGTATTTGGAGATCTGGCCATAGAAAGAAAGACCGCAACGAAGTCGTTGTCTCTTGGCCGTGAAGGCAATGATTAATGATGCTACGATTACCAGTCGATAGAACGACCGAAACGCTTGAGTGCGATACGATACCGCCGATCGTCGACTGCTGATCACCGATCGTTCTAGGCATTGTATTGTTGTTGTTCTATAGCCGATTTTGGTAGTGCGGGCGTGCGCGTGCTCGCGACTTAAGTGGCATGATTGACAAAGACACTTCATGGACCGTTCATTCTAACAATATAATTTAGTCAAGTATGACTCAAGTAGTAGTAGTTGCTTTGCCCAAAAAATATGTTGTGCGTATATGGCTTGAAAAGAAAACAAAGCTAGTATATGCATTTAGTTTCTGTAGGCGTGCTTTTAATTGACGTAGGTTGCTCATTAATTCCAATTGCAAAAGCTAAGACATAAGCAAGCGCTTCGAACAATTTGTAAAGTTTAATTAAGGGCAGCAGCATACAAAAGATGACGAATTGTCTCTGACGCGCATAAATTTGTGGATTAGATGGCTGCAAGCATGAGGAAGTTGTCATAAAAGTGTAGGCGGTGTTTTGGTAAAGTGTGTGGGAGCGTGTGCTCATCAACATTTAAATTATTGTTAACTAAACAGACGAGCTTTGAAGTTAAAGGCAGACAATGGAGTATGCCTAAAACATAATTTATGAGAAATATTATGGCTGCAAGAGTCAATTATCAAAGGGAAATATATAATATTTAAAAATACATGTATGCAATATTATTTTAAACATTAATGGAGCTTTAATCAAAAACTTGAAAACCAATTTAAACAATTTACAAGACAACAGAATTTACATTGAATATTCAACAAATATTCCCAAGTTAATAAATGTATAATTTTATAATAAAGAAGAATGTATTAAAATATATAATATGAATGCTATGAACAACAGTATTTCCATTAAATATTCAACGTTTATTCCCAAGTTATTATATAATTTATAATTTATTTTTAACTATTAATTAAATAGAAAGAAAAACAAAATATTATGTATTTTGTTATATAAATGTATTAAAATATATAAATGGTCTAAACTCTATTGAAAGCGTATACAAGTTTAAAGATAAAAATATCAACAACAATTCCACTGCAGAATTCACTTACGAAATTGGTTTTAATAATTCAAACATTTCATTACTAAATTGTTTATTAATATTAAAGAAGATGTAGTTTCTTTTTAATGGGAACAAAGATTTATTTATAATAAATAATTCCTTTCCTATTTGATTTAAATATTCCTTAAGATGTGCAAATGTCATGGAAACATTTCAAGTTTCAGTTTTCTAATTAAAAATATATATTTCTATAGTATTTACAAAAACAAAAAAAAAAACCCCTTAACGAACTGAAAACCGCAACCCGCTCAACATGATGTCGGTTTTGTCTTCTTCTTCCTCTGCCCCTTGACTATTCGCCAACTTGTATCTCGCGCCTTAGCAGCCCATAAAGTAGCTCATCAATCGCTGTGGCCACTTAACAAGCTCTGCCAGAGATGCGAACGATAAGCAGCGACAGAGACTGCCACCTTTTCCACACACACACACACACACATACACAGAGAGAGAGACACTCGCGTTGACGTCATTAAGTGGCATTGATTGTACGTCTCTGGGATTCTCACACTTGCGTGCCACAAGTGGCAGGCAGCCCGCATTACACTCGTACGTACATGAAAATCGATAATTGCATGTCAAATGTGAAAAGAAAAAACGTAAATGACTTTCAGCGTTCGAGGTTTCCCAGTCACGGCCCCAACGTTCTCGTCACGCTGCCAAAAGTAAGGCAGTGTTACAACTAACAACAATAACGATAATAACAACAACAACAACACAGTTCAGTGGAGCAAATTGTAGGTTGGGTCATGTTTGTATCTAAGGAACCGCCTACCTTTGTCAACGCCAAGACTTTCGCTATAGCCTGCCTGCCCGCCTTTCACTCACTCCCCAAATCGACAGTTTCGAGAAATATACTATATATATGCTTTTTATAGTAGACAAAAGCATTGCAAATTATTATTTCCATGCAAAAAGCACATTTAAATGTTAAACAAACAAAATGGGAGAAAGAAAATTGTAAATGAGACATAATGTTGTCATCATTTCTTTCGCAGTTGTTGGCCAAAAATTTTGACATAATAGCCACTGGGGGCCGGCCAGCCAGCTGGGGTTGAGGAAGTGTCAGTTTTTCATTTTCATTTTTTGCTTTTGTTGCCATTTCATGTAAGTGTGTGTGTGTGTGAGTTAGCAAGCAAAAGTGAAACTATGTCAAATTGCATTATGAATTGCAAAACAAAATAAAAAAAAAACTGTGCTTCATTTGACACGCAATCTGCCACTTTATTTAACTTTTTATAATAGCACAGCCAATGTTTAGTTTCTTGTTTCTTGCTGCTTAACATTTGTTAATGTTTTGGACTTTTTGTTTTGTTTTAACTGAAACTCTTTAGGCACCTCATTAAAGGTTGTTCAATAAAGCTTGCGCAAGGTCATGTGTTTGCTAACAAAGAGTTAAGTAAAAACAACATTTTGGCCAAACAATTAAACAACTAGTTATAGGGAACTAATTGAAAAACGAAAAAATGTTGGTCATTAAAAACAAATTACAATCAAATCATGCAACTTGCTGGAGACATCACTTTCAGGAAATCATGTTAGGGAAACTGAAACTGAAAAAGCTTAAAACCTGTGACTAAACTCCATGATTCATTTCCGTTAATTGTTTATACCTTTGTAGCAAAATGTCTAAATCATTGTAAAGCATTGAGAGCAGATATGTTTGAACGTCTGAACGTTTCGATCTAAGGGAACGCGCTAGGGAAGCTATATTTTTACCATATCTAACAAATTTATTTTTGTTCAATAGTACATGCTTTTCATCTCAGAAGAAATGGTGTTTATGGGTCATTGAACAAAAATAGGATAGGATAGAGACACAGAAAGATGCTCTTTATAAGCAGAGAGTCTGCGAATTGTAAGTCTTAAAAAATAATTGTTTTCTATAGCGAACTTTTTTTCTTTAAGTTTCTAGAATATTTGACTATTTTGACAAGTACTGGTCTGAATTAAAAAATATTTTTACTAAATAAAAACTTGATAGCTGTAAGGACAATTATGAAACATATGCGTAAGATTTAAGAATGATTTCGGGCTTGATCTTAACTTCTTATAAAATATTTTCACGAGCAATTAATGACGTTTTTCAATATGAGCTGTTCGTAATTCATTTCATTTGAAATCTATAAGTATTCTGGTATTATTTGTGTAAGCTTTTCTCAAACAGCTCTATCACATCCCACAACTGCTCCTCAGTACCGGTTAGAGTATGAAAATATTAAATACGAAATAAAAATGAATGCGCAAAGTACTCAGACAGCGTTTCGGACGCGTTCACACAAATCTTAAGTCGAGTCACTTAATATTAGATTATAGGAATGTATTATCTAAGTTGGCATTCATAATCCAATGCTTTGTAGTCGCTTCACAGTCGACACTGTACCTCACCTGATTTGCGTTTCTCGCGATCCGGTACAACCAAACTTTTCGCGCGTTTCACACGCAACGAGCGGCGCCGTATCGAGCGCAGAAAAGCTTCGGGCATGCGTGAGAACCTCTGCGGGGTCTCGGGCGCTTTGGTGCGTTCCGGCAAAAAGAAATTCTTGACGGCCAACATTATGAATGGGAAGGTTTTCCTTTTTCTTCTTTCGTTTCTTGTGCAAGCGGCTAACAAATTGCAACTGTTGCTGCCACCTTCGTTGTAGTAATTGTAGTTGTTGTTGTTGTGGTTTCTGCTGTTGCTATTGGTGCTGGTGTTGGTGTTGCCGTTGTGGGTGGCGCGTGTTGGCAATGAAAAGTTCAGCAGCTATTTTTAGCTGTTGTTATTGTTTTGTGTTGTTTGTGTTTATTTTAATCCTTTTTTTTTTTTTGGTGCTGTGCGCCTTTTGCGGCACTTATTTATTTATCTATTTTGCACTTATTGGCTTTCCACCCGCTGTCGTCAATGTGGCCAACAACATGCTCAACACATTTGTTCAACATTTTTGTTTAACTTGTTCGTTTAAAAACCAGATACTTATAAATTTTTGCATTATTTATGCACTCATGACTAATAACACCTCGGACTGTTGTTATTGCTGTTGTTTAGTCACCTTTGAAATTTTAAAAAATATTTGCATTTAGCAATACTTTCTTTTTGCCTTTGCCTTGGTGATTTGTCGATTTTGTTGTTGTCAAGTAGGCAAGTCAATTTTCTTTTGTTTTCTTTTGGAGTGCGAGCGCGTAACTACAATAACAAGATACGCACAGAGAGACCAAAACTATGTCAAATGCACGAAAACTACGTGAAAATAATTTCAAATAACACGGACGAGCTGCGGCAACAAACACGTCTACACAGCGCGCTGGTTGAAAACAAACTGATGTGGGAAATTTCAACAGCGACGACTGTTATGCGCAATGCATATTAACAGATATGGTGGTTGCTTAACAGCTGCGACTGCTATTTAACAGTGGACAATTTTAAGACTTTCAGCAACAGCCACAATGTTAAATGGCTGTCCAGCAAATGTTATGAGTAACAGTACATACATGTGTTTGTATTTGTTGCACTTAACATAACTTGTAGCACGTGCGCTTAGTAAACAGATATCGTGTTTCAAAATGCAGGTAACAAGTAAACGGAAGTGCACGTATGTATTTAAAACAATTACTTTTAATATCATTAATTGAATTGTATTTATCTATCTACAATAAAATTCAGACACACTCAAACGCTCATTCAAACGTCAGCGCAGCAGGAAGCGCTGTGTCGGTTTCTTATCAAATTGCACAGTTATGAGAATTCTAGGCAACGCAATTTCAACGGAATTCATTCATTTATTGTTTATTGCAATACCCTGTAGTAAAAATATTTGTGTACTATTTTATCAACTCTTAAAATAAGGCTGCCTGATAAGATTCAGCTGTCCAAGAGCTGTTAAGAGTCTGTTAAAATATCCCATCTGTAAGGGGCAAGTGAAAATTATGGGAAAAATGAGAGATAGAGAGTGAGAGGAAATGAGTTGGTGCAACAAAAAACCATGCGGAAATCAAAATGCAATAACAATAATAAACATCGTGAATTGCTGCTGCTGTTGTTGTTGTTGTTGTTTTTGCTATTGCGCGCAAAGAGGTAATAATCAGCATGTTGTTAGTGCTATAGTATACTGGTGATGATAATAATAATGGTGGCGGCCATGTCGCCTCCCTCATTCCCCACCCCACTCTGCGGTTATTGTTGTCAGTTTGGGGTCTGCTGTACGGTTAATGGATCGCTCGGGGGATTGTGCAGTGCAACTTCACTTCCTATAGATGGGGCGTATCTTGCCGCAGCAGGCAGACAGTCAAACACATGTGGTAAATATTAATTATGCACAATTATTTGTGGACTTTTTATTATTTTATGCAAAAGAGTCGATTTTTTGGTCAACAGTTATGAAATAAAGCAGCGCAAACATTCAATAAATGCGGTCTATAATGGCGATTTATATGCAACAATTTTCTGTACAGGAGTAGGCAGGAAATCGAGTTAAATTTGCCAAAAGCTATAAAAGTGAATGTGAAGGGGAATTAAAATAATGCTGAAAATATTTTAGAGATCACTAAGAAAGAAGGAGGCGTTGCAGATCTCATGTTTTAGGTAAATATATAAGATACATGACGAGAGGAAATCATAAACACATTTTAGTTTGTCCATTTGTCCATATTTATATTATATTATATATATTTCCTCATTATCTTATATGGCTGCCAGTCAGCAGAATTACTTCTTTGTTGGAAAATAAATCTTAACCAAATTTAGTATTTATGACTCAACAAAATTCAAGGAATTATTAAAATTAGTTTAATATATCACATAGATATTTTCTGATTGGTGAGTAAAGTCAGTTATGATTATCTTTATTTGTAAGAGGAGTTGGTCTAATTAATCTGAACTTATCACCACCATAACAGCTCTGATATACTCGTATATATAAATGTATACTTGCCGGAATTAGTTGCATAAGAAATGCAAAGCTGTGACTGTTTTGCCAAAGACCTCCAGATTACATCTGACACGGCCTTTGGCGTAAAATCGGAGCGACACGTGAACTGCATTATATGCTCGATAATTTGACACGCTCGCCACACTTGTGCACTCACTTATCGGGGCGATATAATGCCAAAAAGTGCCAACCAGGGAGCGTACCTCGTGCGACACACTTTGCGACTTAATTAGACGACATCATTGTATGTTTGTAATGTACGCGAATGGACTGACTGTACGTCGAAAGCAGCAAGACGTGGCACGCGAATGCAATGGAACTTTGGATTCGCAGGGAACCACCCCAAAGAAAGAGAAAACAAAAACTAGCGGTAAAACTAAAGACACAGCTAGCAGGGTGTGGCGACGTCTGAGGGTCTGTGAGCTAGCGCTACTGTTTTTTTTATGGAATTTTAATGGAATTTCTAATCAACCTGCAGCAGAAGAAGGGCGCGTCGTCTGCGACTTTTCCAACCCGAGCGGGCGGCAGGGCTTGCTAGATTTTTCAGGGACTTGCGTTGACGAATGTTGCACATTGGGTTATAAATGAGCCAGCTATGGGGGTTGCTTGCATTTGTGGGTGGGTTAGTGGGTGTGTGGTCGTCTACAGAGTTACGGCTGTAAGCACCCTCAAGGGCAGGCGACACTTTCGTTTTCAATTGAGCTACTTCGATATACACTCTTCTATGTGATTAGAAAGGAGTATATAGGTTTTATAATAGCGAAGGAGCTGAGTCGAAGTGGCTGTATCAGTTGGACAATAATATGTTTTAAGGCGCAGAAAAGCCTAAAGCCTACTTGCCTAGGCTAGGTATATGATTCATGTCGATGGGCTAATAAGTGCGATTATTGAAAATAATTTATTAACGAGACTTAAAAGTTTGTTGTGGCCTAAGAATCTGTTTGATTGCTTAAATTTAATTATATAGTGTGGTACAATGCTAGATAATTGCTTCTATGAAGCTATTTGTTTTTAAACTTTGATACAATTTATTGTGTTTTTTTTTATTATTTTCGTATTTAAGTCGCATGGTTAGTTTCTGTTTAACAACTGAGTCGTACATTGTTGTAGGTTCCTTTTTAAGACTTTCTTTCTTTTTAAATGACTTCAAAAAGGAGGTGGTTCTCAATTCGAATGTATTTTTTTTTAATTTTTTTATTATTTCTTATGTTCTGAGGTATCAAAACTTTCAATTTTGACGCCTGACACCGATTCCAAAAATAACAATAATTATAACTACATTATTGTAGAAGAATATGTAACTAAATTTTTTCATTTTAGTGCATATTACATTCTTTTGGAATAGTTTTTCTTTGAAAGTCGGTTGTTTTTTTTTTTTGTTAAAATTGTTTTTTTATAACTGTTGAAATCCAATATAAATCTTTCAAATTTTTGTTGATTTTCATTGCAACACATAGAAATATAAAGCAATTCGAATTGTTGCTTTAAAATTATTCCAAAAAGTAAAGCTATAGAGCGTCCCATAGTCGGCAAAGCATCACTCTACCGGTCTATTTTGTTTCTTTTTGTCGTTGATTTGAAATCATTGCGATAAAAATACCAAGCTAAATGGTATTTGGGTAACAAAATTGCTGCGCTTTTAAGGGTTAAAAACTTCGCGACTGTGGCTAATTATGATCGCAACTTGAGTTGAGGGTGCGCGCCCTCAGCGTTTCAGGGTTGCATGCGTCTGGGCAAAAATTTTATAACAATTTTAATTGCAAGCAAATGTTACATATTAATGCATGTGTATGTGTATGTATTTGTGTGTGTGTGCAAACAAATTAGGTTTACTCTTTGGTCACTTAATATGCGACGGTGGCTAACCAACAGTACTAGTAACAACCACCACGACCACCACCACCACCCATTCGTCAAGTACACCCCACGCTGCTTTTATTGTCATTTGATACTTTTTACAACTCCCCCTCCACCTAATCGAGCCTTATTGTTGTGCAAATATTTGCGCGCCCTATTAGTTCATCACATGACTTTCACACTCTGATCTCAGATCTCTCGCCGGTACTGGCAGCGGGAGCGGGAGCGGGACCGGGACCGAGGCAGGGACAACACAATAACGCTTCTTTCTTGTTTCGTTTATAGAAATGCTGAGTCAATGATTTGTCATGTTTTTGGCAGTACACAGACAGACGTATGTATATATTCGCATATATATAAATATTTCAACCTATGACAAATCGTGCTGAAATCTTGATTTAGTTGGGCTCTTTCGGCTCTTACGTACTCATATGTACATATGATTAACATCAATAATGGTGTCGACTTGCGTGGGTGTTGGCAGTCGGAAAAGCATTCGTTTGGAGGAAAATGAGTGCAGGAAGTGAGTGTTCGAGCTGAATTCGCAATAAGTTTTTAAGTAGGTCAGCAGCAGGAATGAAATGTAAAGAGTGCATATTCTTCTTTCTCTATGACTCACGGGAATGTACTCCGAAAAAACAGAAGCAGATGTGCCTAAAAGGCGAAATTGTGTTCTATAATATATTTATATTCCCAAAGACTCTTTGATTATTATTCTTTAGTATTTGCTGTACATTGAAATGCCAAAATATACGGATTCCACGATATAGTTACTCGTATACATCGGATATGAACCGATATAGACCTATCTGTGTGGCCATTCGTTCAGCTTTCCGTTGTATAAACTTGAGAGTTAACAGCACTTTATTTATGTAAATACGAGTGCATCCAGCAGAAATAAAGTAGTTTAAAGAATATAATATTGGAAAGAACGAACAATCTGAGAAAAGATCGTTTTCCATCGGGTTTAAGGAATATAAGCTTGTACTTGGGATTATTACTCCAAAAAGTTGTATTCAATTGGGAAGAAATTACACAAAATATTATGGAATGTATTGATTACAAAAACAGTATCTATGGCAGATATAGATATCTTTACTCTAAAGTTATAACCATAAAGGTAAATATCTGCTCATGCAGCAACTATTGTGTGGCTGTTTCAATTCAAGATCGATTACTATTACTTAGGATTTACTTTTACTTAAGCCTTAATTTATTTACTAATAACATGTTTAATAATAGCTATAATTTTAACATCAAATGCTTTCACGATTCGGACTATTACCAGTCATGTTTATAAAGAGCGTAAAAAAATTGAAATTTTTCGATTATTTGTTTGAAAGAGTCTTTTTGGTTGAAAAATGGAATTGAAAAAATTGGCGTAAGAAAAGTAATTCGCTAGCTCTAGCTAAAAAGTTGCAAGAGACCACTAAACTTTCTAGTAGTAATACATATTTGTTTGCCTATTACACTCATTCATAATAT